CTATCACACAATCATTTACGTGAAATGCCTGATAATATATTCCAAGGTTTGCAAGCCCTGGAATCTGTTGATTTGTCGATTAACCTCCTGACAACGCTATCGCCTAACCTCTTCGCCGGCCTTCCGTCGCTGAAAGAGGTCAACGTGGAGGACAATCTACTGGCCGCCCTTCCAGCTTTCAACCCCACGTGGGCGTCCATCCCAGCACTGGCGTTCGGATACAACTCCAACCTCACGCTGGACGCGGCGTCGCTGCGCCCGTGGCTGGCCCAGGGCTCGCGCTACCTGTCGCTGGAAGGCACCAGACAAGAAGCGCTGGCACCGGCGGCGGCGGCGTGGTTGCTGCAGGAGCCGGGCGTGGCGCTGTCGGCGGGCAGCCCGCGAGGCTGCCACTGCGGGGTGGCGCGGCGTGGCGGCGTGTTGCTGCACTTGTGCGTGGCCATGCGGTGCGAGGGGAGGCCGCGACACCCCGACGACTGGCTGCTCGCCGCCGTGCGACAGGCCAACGCGTCCGTCAGCGCCACCCAAGTGGCGTAGACTGACTAGAAGATGCCCTGGGATAAAAAAAATCCCAAATTAGTTGATGAGCAGTGTTAAATTTTATTCTGCATGCAGTAACCCTGCTCTGATATTTTGCTTACATGGAGAGTCTACAACTTGAAGAATTGCATTTCGATCGGGCGTTTGTGTCATATTTGTAGTTTGTACTAAATAGTATACCAAAATACTATTACCAATAATTGGACGTTTGCGTGAAAGTTCGTAAAAAGTGTTTAGAGAACATTCAGACAAAGAAATCTTTAACACGATTGTGGTGCTGTTGAAGAGCTTTAATTTCCGAAGGTCTTGTGAAATCAAATATATATAACTAGTTCACTTACTAATACTTAACACAGAAAGCGCGTGTGTTAGAGTTCCAAACCAAGCGCGTGTGTTAGAGACAAAGCTCGGACCGTTGATGTAGTCAGACCCGTAAGACCACTCCGCTTTGATGGATACTGAAAACAGTCTCATTGTTTCATGAAAGGATAAGAGAGATACAATAATTTTCATAAACTACTTGCTTGCCTGGCTGATAGCAGTGTATTGTTGTGCTGACTAATCACCAATAATTAATTATAATGTACTGATGTGATCCTTTTATGCGAGAGTATCGCAATTAAGGTTTGTTCGCAATAAACGATTTATGTTCTACGCCTTATTACCACTCATTTTGTTTCTAACCATTTTCTATGTGTTAATTTCCTGCATTTCCTTATTTATTTGGTAGGTCAAGCTCTTTTTGTATTATTTACAACTTATTCACTACGTACTGACTGGGTTGGTGTTGGCAGAATATTTTATAAATTAAATTCATTTTAGAAGCAAGTTTCTAGAGTAAATATTAATCTGCTACTCGGAAAATTCAGTTTCAATTGATACCTGGTTTTGAGTTATGAATGTCATCTATTGTAATTGAATGTAGTCAGGAATTATAACTGCAGAATATTTTAAGTTGAAAAAATGGAGGTCTCCGAGATCGACAAATTTTTTATTTTCTCGCGCTTAAGAAGCAACATCGTAAGAAGAAAAATTATGTAATGCAGCTCGGAAAAAGGCGGATTTTCGGCAGAGAAACTCTTATTACATAGCTCTGGTAACGAAATAGGTCATAAATCTAGTTGCGAAATTTAGGGGGGGGGATCCTCTAACTCGTGGTATAGCCAGAATCCATGTTTTGAGGATCCTTGAAACCAAAACAAAGCGATTGACGACAAAACCTCCTGTCTGTTACTCTGTCCGTCTGTGAACAGCGCTAGCGGTTAAACCGTTCAGCAGATTTTCTTCACCATTCACATTCCTCAATGTCCTCTGTCGCGGCCCCTTGGATTTGAAATTGATATTTTAGTTTTGGAGGGTACATGAAGCCCCTCGGACATTTTCAAAATTTTCAAAAAAATAGGTCCATCGTAAAGTACGTTTAAGAGGTCTCATGGTGGTAAAAAAATATCCTTTTTCCAAAAATGAAAAAAATTCAATTTTTTTCGGCGTCTTCCTACAACTAAAATATTAAAAATGGTGATTTTTTCCTTAATAAAGTTGTTCCTTTTGATAGAAGATGATGTACAATTTTTCGAAAATTTGAGTATTTTTCGCGTAATTTTGCGTGAAATATAGACTTTTTTAAATGTTGGTTTAAATTTTTTTTCTCCAAACCGGCTCCATGGTTTTTGATGAAATTATATTGGTGAATAGTGGAGAAAACGTTTAAGATAATGGTGTAGGACACATAATGGTTGAAAACACTAATTTTTTGAAAATTAAAAAATTCAATTTTTTCGGCATCTTTTTACAACTACATATGTGAAGATACATTTTTTGTAAATGAATGTGTTCGTAAAAAATACAGATCTTCGAATAAGATCATGTTAATTTTTTTGAAAATGAGTAGTTTTGTGTAACTTGGTGACGAAATTAAATGTCCGCTGCGAATTTACTGGGCTTCGTGATAGATTTCAGACAATTGGATGCCTCGTAAGTTAGAATTTGTATATTATTTAATATTTATTTGTTTCTTTCTTACATTTGGCCTTTGGTTTTGCATTTACACATTAATATTTTAGAAATTATTTGAAACCTATTTGAAATATATGAAATAAAAATTGCTAGCCTTCAGTCACCCGCTTCCAACTTACGCAGCTTGTGAAAATTTGTATATTATCTCATATTTCATTTTATTATTGTTATTTATTATATTTATATTATATTTATGTCATTTAATTTTAAATTGTGTCCTTTTATTGTGTTAAATGTGAAAACGAATTGATGCGCGATCACTGTAAAGTAGTTGCAGTACGTGAAAACCAAAATAACCTCAAACTTAAAACGTCAAGAATACTTAATTACTAAATGTGCATCTTCTGCCTTTAAGATTTCTTTCATAATCTCTCCCAAATAGTATGCAAATAAATAAAATCTTAACTCTGCGAACATTCTGAAGGAACATGTGATGCGCAAAATATTACGAAATATTCTTAGAATTAGTGTTGTCACAAAATTCGATGACTGGCTACAAAATCAATTACATGATTTAAAAAAACAACTTTGTATTTCTATACTGTTACTTTTTTATTTCACCATTTCCTTACTTAAACATTAGGTACTCTCATCTGAAGTCAAAAGACCTGGTCCTAACGTTTGGATTATGTAGATGGCCCAGCAACACAATACAATGTCAACATTGTTCAAACTGTTCGGGTTTCTTTGTTGAAGATGTCAAAAATAATTGTGTTAGTTATCCTTTTGGAGACATCTTTAGTAAATAATTATTCCTGTACAATATACTTCTCTTGGATGTGATAGAAAAGCTAAAGTTGTTGGAACTGCGAGTTTTTACAAACGTAAATATCATAAAGACGTTCTATCAAAATTCTCTTCTTGAAAATGAACCGAGCAAAACTTGCTGAATGTAGTACTAGGCTGCCAGTTGCCTTTTCTTTAATTCACAGTGCTCTCCTCTTTCGTATGAAGAGAGAAATCACGAAAATTAACCAATATCTTCAAATGTTACTATGTTCTCCAAGCCATATAAAGTAATTACTTTCATGAGAAAAGTATTCACGCCTTTTCCGAACGGTTTGTAGATCAGTAAGTAACGAAATATAACTAACTATTACGAAAGCTTGTTAATCTGATCAAGACTTTTAAATATTAAAAACTATAAAAAATAACACTCCTCAACACGAGGACGCCTACAAGTGTTTTGGACACAGCAATATGGCGCATCATTGCTTCACGTGGCTTCAAGTTTGTGACGTCATGCCATCTTGTATTCCTAGTTCCATGGCCGTGGCCCTCGCGAAAATTTTACAAGATTCCCGTGATCTAAAGTAATAAAAGCTTTAATTTACGTTCAAATGAGTAGAAACCATAGTCACATTGTAAAATTTACAGTCTTTTTATAAATGGATGATCTATGTTACTATGTTACTGTATATGTTGGAGTATTAGTGCCATATTGTCTAAAAATATGAAAAAATCCGGCTTTATACTTGTAAATGCTATCACGAGTAGTATTGCGGGTTATTTATTTGTTGATTCACTATTTTCCAATATTTTATGTTTATATTTTCATATTATTTCAATATTTACAATATTCAATTTATAATATTTAACAATATACACCATATAATCAGCGTGTATAAACCGCCAAACAAATTTTTTCGACTAAAATCTTATCAGAAAATATGTATCACTAACAATAATTATCCAATTTTGCTAGTAGGAGGTTTAAATAGTAAAATCTCAGCGTGGCAATGTAACTCATCAACACCGCAAGGCAATAAATTACAGGTATTCGCAACGCATAACGATCTCCAAATAATTGCACCATGGGAGCCAACCCGTTACTCCTACAACAGCAACATAGTCTCAGTAGATCTTAGACATAACAGTAACAAAAAACTTCAATCAACCAATGAAACAAATTGTTCAGCCTGAACTTGACTCAGACCACAATCCTGTAATCTTAATTCTAGGAACAACAAATACTGAAACCACCCAGTAGCATCACGAAACTACTTATGTAGGGCGTGTAAACTGACACAAATGTAAAGAACAAATTAATTTAAATCTTATATTTCTTAAAAGCATTAAAATAGCTGCAGATTTAGACAAACAAATGCAAAATCTCGCCAAGACTATACCAAAATCAATTAATCTATCAATTATATCTTACAGAGTAATAATTACAAACTAGTGGTGCTACAGAATGGCGCAGACTTTCCAACATTCGTTTTCTAATTCCATTGGTCTCGGCTAGCTTTTCTCTCTTGCCACATACACACATAGTACTCTCGCCAGCTATCGCCGACCAAAGCACTTTTTTTTGTTGTTGAAATTTTCTCAATAATTTCGGTTTCCTAATAGCGGAATCGATAAATTGTTTTAAGAATATTAAATAACAGTAAGACCTTGTCATAAATGGCAATTGTCTTTGAAAATTTGGAGTCAGTTTTAAGAAAATGGCGCGCATGCGGCGCAATAAATTCGAAATTTGAAGTGCTTTTTCACAGAAAATGTGTTTTTTCGAAAAATTCACAGAAATATTTATAGGTAGGTTTCTTCACTTTTGTTTGCATTAACGTTGTTCTATTTTTTACTGCATACATTTGGATATGTTAGTTATTAGAGCGTGTCGTTTTGACCAAAACATGTAATACATCGTACTTACGGAGACTTACGTATTTACAAAAAAGGTCATTGCGTGATGACTGAAGCCAATGAAGCAGTTCTGAAATTAGATCTGGATTGAGAGGCAAAATGTCTTCCAGAAATATTGTGTTTTGTTCTAGTTACAGAAAAAATGTTTTATTTTGTAGACCAGTGTAATAAAGTTGCAAGACTTAAACGAAATTTCGCACGCGAGTTCAATAACTCTTTTGATTTACAGAAGGTGGTGCTACTTTTATTAATATTCTTCATGTTATGTCAACGAAAAGGCACTCAAATGAACAGGCACGACCAGTTATTTTGAAAAAAAATTGTAGAATTCTCGTTTTTTCACGCTTGTCTGTATGGAGTTAGAAGAGAAATATGATCCAACTAAAACACATTTTAATGTGCACTTCTTCCGAACGCTTAAATACATATATACATTTCTAATTTGTTTCAAAATAAAATTCAATGTTGTTTATGAGGAAGACAACAAACATCTGCCTTCATTAACATTATACTCCGGCCACATCGTCGTCAGGAAGCGCAATATATGGGAAAGGATAGTCAGTCGTGTAGGTTGCTTTGCAGTTGAATGCTTTGTGGAAGGCAGCGTTCTTCTTCAACATGTTTTTGACCCTGAAATCAAAGGAGAACATTATATTTTTAATTACTGAGTGGAACATGAAGGTAATAGACTGCTTAAGAGCAACAATGACTTATCAACTTCAAACATATCGAAGACTCCCCGAACACCAAAGAAAATTTTGCATGTTGATATCAAAATTTCAGAAAGTACAAATTTACTTATTACAAAAGATTGGTATTTTGGTAAATACTCGCTAAAGTTACGCTTTTTAACATACGATAGTAAGAAAATAAATGTAATTGATAATCTGCTTTTATCAATCGCGTACCTTTTATTATTATTATTATTATTATTATTATTATTATTATTATTATTATTATTATTATTATTATTGTCGCTTACCGTGTTTCCGGTGGAAAAAATGGCGATTCAAAAAAGTCTAGCACCATAGAAAAGTAGTCCAATTTGGTGCAAAATGTCTGAAAAATGCATAATAAAAAATGCACAGTAATTACTAATCAAACAAATTTATGAGTCTAGAGCATTCTGTCAAACATTTCAAAATAAAGAAAGAGAGTGGTATTTATAAATTTTAATACTATATAGAAATAACACAATACAAGTTATTTATGACACGAGTGGTGAGAGTGGCATTTTATTTTGCGAGTAGGTAACGTTGCGACATGAGGCCGATAGGCCGAGCGGCGCAATCACACGAGAAACAAAATCTCTTTTACACAGTGGCGACTCCTTGGAGTAGGCAAAGTAGGCACTGCCTACCCTGATGAATATTAATACATTTCATAATAATAATGAAAATGAAATGACTCTCGTGGCGCAAGCCATATTTCTATTTCAATCGTTTTCCAACAGCCCGTGCGCTTTGCGAGCTCTTTCCGGGGTGACACGTCCGCCTGCACTTTTCAGGGCACTTTTCACGAGCTGCCTCGCTTCACATCGTATTCCGAGAAGCGGCCTTGTAGTGAGCGTCGAGCGGTAGCATGCTGCGTCCATACTTGACGCATGCGGTAGTGCATAGGCCAGCCAACTCTTTTGCAGCCTGCCCGCGCGAAAGACTCCCATTTCCACTCACGTGCAGCCCCGTAGCACGTGTGTTTACTGCTCTTTTGACGGATTAACTTGCGGAGAAAGTTATTATTATTTGGGAAGTATTTATTTTTGCGTTTTAAATTAGTGTGCTGCGGATTACACAGGCCAACAAAAAAGGTTTCAAAATTTTTTAAAACTTGATAGCTGTTTTTTATAGTTTTTTGGGTGCTGAATCCGCATTTGAACTGTGTTCCTTTCCATCATCCACTGTTTAGTCACAATTTAATGTAGTAAGATATGGGAAAACATGCTAAATATGCAATATAAATTAAAAAGTAAATGACTTTTAAAATATCATTAGAACTTTATTTAAATATAGAAGATGGCTTTATATTCTTAAAATTACATTCTACAAAGGCTTTAGGAGCCCATTGACCTGTATATTCTTTATCTCTTTTCTTCAAAGTTCCCGATACAGCTTTTTCTCCTATGCGCCATTCGCTGACTCAGTGGAGTGACCAACAGCAATCTCCCATCGTGTTCGTGTTCCAGCGCCCCTGATAACGTTTTTCCATCACTTTTAGATCTTCATGAAAAACTCATCTACTTCTTCACTTACATCGCCTAAATTCTCAGGAGAGGATTAAAAATAACGGTTTCAAAAGTGAAACTTGGGTCTCAATAAACATCCCCATATTTTGAAAGCATCCAGCATATTGGCAACAATTTGCTTGACAGTCTGTGGTCGTTTTGTTGCCTAGAAAATTATTTACAATGTGTTAAAATACCTATGTGGCACCCAGGATTTGGCCTGATCACGAAGCTTAATTTAGAAATTTAAAAAATACAATTTCTAACAAAGTCATTAATGTTCCGTCGGAGTTTTCAATCACAAATTCGCAACAAATAAAACCAAAACTGAAGGACTGTCTTACAACCACGATTAGCCGTGACTGAACAGGAAGTTCTAAACTGGTATCTTATATTGATAGCAATAAAGCAAACACTTGAGCATCGAATAAAACAAACACGGTACTGCTTGTCAAATCTCTGACTGTGAAACCTCCACGTGTATCGATGCGTAGTTGTGGAAGGGATTACAATGTAGAAATATTTTACCAAAGCGTATACTACTCTCTTTTTAATTGCATATTTAGCATACTTTCCCATATCTTACTGCCGTCTTAATACTTTCTTATTCTAACTTCTGCATCTCATACGTTTCTAGAGAATCAGAGCTTCATTTGCCTAGTTACACAAACAAAATGTTCAAATGTGAATAAATGGTGGGTGATACGACATTTTTAATATTATTTTTGGTATCAGCACACTTAAAACAAAAAGAATTAGGTGAATACACACAACCAGGTTTTCGGTCGTTGGCCTGTGTTATTAGTTACTTGATTCTTTTATATTTAAATCTGATTTTACGTTAATATTTCGAGAAAAACAGTGAATAAAGTACTACGTACATAATTTTCTTGTATTCACGATGTAGAAAAGAGACAAATGTTAAACAATGGTCGAACTACTCCTATGCTGAGTACGGATGTACATCGTGCTGGTAACAAAAATGGAAGAAAATGCAATCCTTCGTGGTATGATTTACATAAATGACTAACAGGAAGCGGAGCACTTGGAGTAGAGATGGATATTTTGACATGAAAATTTTATCAAAAGATACACAAAGGCATAAACTGTTAAAAGATTACGTATGCAATTCAATGAGTCTTAAACGTCTGGAAAAAATTTGATTCCGATTTCTTAATTATTGTCAGATTAATACAAACTCGATATAATTTTTTTAGAATCTGAATATCTGGAAATCACGTCGGCGCGTGCTTCATGGAAGTAATGCTTTGGAATGTAATGATATCATTCAGACAATTGTTTCAACAAATTGAATAAAATTACAAAAAATGGATTAAATTGGGGCTTGGCCCCCATGCCCCTTTCTAGGGATCTGCCGCTGTTCAGCAATCTGTTTTGCCTATCCTGAACATTTGTTCACGAGCCACCACTGCTTTTACATTCTCATCCAAAACTCCAGCAGAGAGCAGTTGCGTCGCAGTGTACCATCTCACCTGCTTAGTGCAGAGAAACAATGATAAAAACATGCAAATAAAACATTGATATAAACTTACTTACCTGAGCCAAAAATACGAAGAAACTTTGGTCGCTTGTTAGTGGCAGGTATGGCAATACGGTATCTGTTTTAGTCTCTTTTTTCTTGAATGTTTTATAAGCTAATTGAATAGCTATTGTGTCTGCAAAATATTCCTTCTCTTTCAGCTCTGTATCTTCAAACTAATCAGGAAAAAAATCTTTAAATATTTCTTCGAATTTGTTTGGTTTTATTTAAGATTCACTTGA